TGTGCTCATACCCAAGCTTGGCTCCTTCAGCCTCAACCCTGCCCACCACTTCTCCCTGTCCCAGAGCTGTCTCTTCCCATCCCCGGCTCTTGTCCCCATCCCAATTGGAACGCCTCAGGTGTCTCATCCCAGTCCTGGTCTCCTTTCCCAGCCAGTCCCAGTCTTCTCCTGCACCCAATCCTCCCCTCCCAGTTCTAGTTTCCTTTCCCAGCCAGTCCCAGTCCCCAGCATCTCGGCTCCTCATTCCATTTGTTCTCTCTCCTCCCCTCTTAGTTTCCATCTGTGCCCACTGCCACCCTGCACCTCAACATTCCCCAGTCCCACTGAGTCCCAGTCCTAGTGTCCGTCCCCAGATACTTAGGCCAATCTCACTGTTGTTCCCCCAGACCAGCTCCTTGACCCAGTCTCTTTATCCGGCCAGTCCCATCTTATCCTGCACCCTGATGCCTGGACACATCCGTCTCCCCACCCTACTTCCACACACTGGTTTCCAGGCCCGTTCCATCCCACCACTCGCATCTGCTTGGCTACCCTCTATTGTTAGCATGCTAGCTCGATGGAAGTGTAGATGTGCCCTTAATTACTGCAGCATGCTCACCCGTCAGTGGAGTGCACTGATCCATAACTTTTCTGGCAAGTGCAAGAGTTGGTCCCAATGGCACTAGAGCAACCTACATTACACTCGCCCCATTACAGAGCTCCCATTCACTTAGCTGGGCTCCGGAGCTGATACTCACCAACGCACTTCACTGTTGGATCAGTGAAGTGTTGTTCCCCAGAAGTAGATGCAAACCCGCGTTTGCAGGTGCAGTGGTAGCCTCCGGGGATGTTTTCACAGGATGAAAAAGCAGGACAAGTAGACAAATCCTGACATCTGTCGACTGTGAAAGCAAGAAGGAACTTTGTGGTTTAAAGAGAACAATGGATACACTTTGCACCTTTTGCTTGATTTCTTCAACGTGGTTCACATTCATTCATTAACCTTGTTAACCATGCAAGCAGGGAGAAAGAGTGGGCCTAACACAGCATGTGGCTGAGGTGGGAGGACCAAGGCAGCTGGCCTCTCTTCTCGAGACATCAGGCAAAGGATCAAGAAAAGGCCTCCATCCCTCTCCCCTGAAGTCACGAAAAACAGGAGGACATGGGAAGAGTAGGTGTGACACCCTGTAGCCCATATTCACCACTTTTATAAGCCTATGATCTATTTTGTACAAAGTATGCCCTGTGAGGTATCATTTGGAAACTCATAATCTGATGGATATTATTATATTCTTGAAATGTGTGTAACAAACACTGCATGTGAAATTATGAGATATTGCTGTAGGATTATTACTGAACTATGTCGTAATTTCTGCGTAGTCCTCATAAGCCAGTTCCTCAGAGACAAGGACACACTGGCATGACAGCAACATACTAAAGAGTCATCCCCTGGTTAATGGGAGATTCACCAACTGGGAAGTTCTCAACAGGAAATTTACAAATCAGCTGAAAGACAGTTTGGTGCTCACATACTGCCTCCCCACAGCACCCAGCAAGGGTATTTCCAGCACACAAGAATTGGGGTATAAGAAGCGGGACAAAAATGCCTGTACCCACCTCTCCTGTGTACCTTATCTCTGTCTCTTCATAACATCAGTGAATCTTTGAAAAACACTGAACTATGAGGAGTGGTCCCAGAATGGAAGGAAATCCAGCCTGTGAACTGAGAACTGCCTGCAGCATCTGGTGCGGTGAGAGGGATGTTGGCTTCAAATCTTATTTAGCTCGGTAACGTTTAGAAATTAACTTGAGGTTTTAGTTTTTTATTTCATTTGTAACCAATTCTGACTTTTGTACCTTACCACTAAAAATCTCTCACTCTCTCATTAATAAACATCTTTTATTGCTTTATCTAAACCAGTGTGTTTGGGAAACCTCTACTTGAGGTAACAAAGGCTGGGG